AAGGTGAAACTATGATGAAAAAACTGTAGCAAAAGAGCAAACAGGAGATTCTTTTCTTTCACTTCTAAGTGAAACAATACTCATCCCCAGGTGATCAGCCATGCTTTTCCTGTTACTTCTAATTCAGATAGCAAAGCATAAGCTGCAAAAGTTACTATGGTTACAATAAAATTTAAGGGCAGTAAACGCAACGAATAGTTCTGTAGCTCTGCTCTTTGTAGAGAACCTGAAAGGATTGTCTCTTGTGTACTAGGAACTTCCTTATTCTTGCATTAGTGTCTGAATTATCTAAACACTAATCTGTAGTCTTAAAGAGAATTCACTGCCTTCTGTTTATCACAGATTCAAATCTGCTGTAATGAGAGCCTGCATTCTCAAGTGAAAACAGAAAGGGTAGTATGCCTTTTTTCAATGAAGAATTTTTTTCAAAGATGAATCAAGTGATAAAACCAAGTCCCTACAGGCAATACATCCTAAATTACTGGTGGAGAGCAAAGTCCAGTGGGTGTGGCATTTGCCTTTCCTGCAGCCTCAGGATCAAATAGGGTTCCTCCAGGCCCACCAGAAGGGATTCCTCAGTGCAGAGCAAGGAGTAAGCCCTGAGCAGTGTTGGGTGTGACCTAAGTGGAAAAAAAATAAAATGAAAAAACACCTAATTCAGGCTGGAGTGAGAGTCCAGCACTAGGGTGTTTGCCATGAAAGCAGCAGACCTGTGTTCAATTCCCAAGCATCCCATATGGTCCCCTGAGCACTTCCAGGAGTTAGTCACGTAGCCAGGAGTAACTCTGCTGGGTGCAGCCCCAAAACCAAATAGATAAAAAGAATTCCTAAATTCTTTCATCTAATGGACACAGAAGGGAAAAAAAAAATCTTGCTCTGTAAGAATTTATCTCTCGCTCACTTAGAGAATTTTGACATATTTAGTCGAAGATTTTGTAGTCAAAGGAACCTTTGACTTATTTCTAGGTTCAAACTGTAAAAAAAAAAAACAAACACCATGAGAAGCAGAATCAAAGATTATAGAGAAAAATATCGGCTGACGATGCTGGCAATTTTTCACTTTATCTAAAGTGCACACATACGTCCTATCCTTTCTATTTTGTCTCTTCTACACTAAGAAAAATTGGGAAAGTTGTTCCTAAAATGAACCTGTTAGCACAATTTAGATATGATAAATATTATCTAAAATAGTTATTTGTGTCAAAGCATACTGATGACTTAAAGGAATTAAAAACTGAATTAGAAAACATTATTGATCAAATCAAGATAGTACAGTCTGATTTGGGAGAGCCAAGAAAGTAGGATGAATAAAGAATTTCCTTAACTGTTAAACAGAGAGAGAGAGAGAGAGAGAGAGAAAGAGAGAGAGAGAGTGACTGACTTATATACTCACTTTTCAAATGATAGTCTAATAAATCTAACATTTGGAAATTTTTGCCAAGACAGAATCTGCTCAGGCTGATTTTTCTGGGACAGAAGAAATCTAGGATAAAAGACCCAAATGTACTTGATCAACCCTGAACTCCTACTTCAAAATGTGGATAATTTTCTTTATAATTTAGAAACTGAATGAGGAAAAATAAAATGACTGTCAGAATATATTTAAAGAGTTTGTATTAATGGAAGTTCTGAAATATTTTAAATCTTACTATATAGAAATAAATTAAAATCTAATGCTAGTATCACTATAAAATTAGTATTTGTTAAGAGTATTAACAAAGTTTGAAAAACCTCCTAAAAATTTCAAATTATGGGGGCTGGAGCAATAGCACAGCAGGAAGGGTGTTTGCCTTGCACGCGGCCGACCCAGGTTCAATCCCCAGCATCCCTTATGGTCGCGTGAGCACTGCCAGGAGTAATTCCTGAGTGCAGAACCAGGAGTAATCCTTGTGCATCGCTGGGTGTGACCCAAAAAAGGAAGAAAAAAAATTTTTTTAAATTTCAAATTATGAAACATATCTGTTTTTAAAATCTTTTTGTGGGCTTTCGATGTTAAAATACTTCTAGCAAAATTATTTGCTACTCTTTTCTAAAATGTCCAAAGTCCTAAATTCTTTTAAAAATAGAAAACATTACATACCATGTCAAGCTCGAATGCTTAAGACTGAACGACCATATGAAACTTAAGCATTAGGCTGGAAAGAGATCTGATAATCACAAAGTTCTATCTATCTGGAAGGCACAACTCTCCCTCTATTAGTTTCAGTTTTATAGTACCTATTGACAAGGTCAGTTCAAGTATAATGCTGGCTCAAACTGTGACTTTCTACTATATAGGGTCAAGAGGTAGTTTTCTATCTTCCATGCAGGTATTAATAGTTCTCTTTTTTTAAAAAAACAAAGAAAGACATTTTAATATGTTTTATTTATTTAATTTTCTTTTTATGTTTTCTTTTTGGGTCATACCCAGTGATGCTCAGGGGTTACTCCTGGCTCTGCGCTCAGGAATTACTCCTGGCAGTGCTCTGGGGCCATATGGAATGCCGGGGATTGAACCTGGGTTGGCCACGTGCAAGGCAAATGCCCTACTACCGCTACAGACAGCCCCGAGGAAGGATATCTTTATAGGACAAACGCCCCAACAAAATTTCCATGAGGAAAAGCACATAAAGTTTAAACGTCATATTCTACTCCAATAATAGCAGTTTGCAAAAACACCTGAGAAATATCACGTATTAATTTTAAATAGAAATTGAGAAGGCGATTTCTATTTCCTGATTAAGACTGAAATCTCATTTGAAAACGTTTCTATAATACTGGATTCTCAGTCACACTAACATAAGGTAACATATCCACTAAAATTTAAACTATCATATAAAATTAAATGCAATACAGCTGAAATTTTCTATGAGTTTTTGTTACTTGTTCCACTGAATTTATGTTATGCTCTGAAAATTACTTTGACCAAACACTCAAAACTATGAAGAACCATTCCTAACAGACCTGGAGAGCAATCGAGTTTCTCAAATTGAACTCTTTTAGCTCAGCAACATCTAGTAACTCATTCTAATCTGAAAATAGAATAGTCAGTATCTTTATTGTAATCAGCAAAGAAAACTCTCACAAGAAAAAGCCGTCTTTTAAACCATTTTGGATCTGGGGGTGACTTCAATGTTAGAAGACTGAACTTTAGGCTGAATATTAAAAATAAATAAAGCATATAATTAGCAGAAGCTGATTGTGAAATTTGAGAAGTTTGCTATGGACACAAATCAAGAGTAGTAATATATCCAGGGACAATCAAGAGATCATTCTAATGCAGATTTACTTAAATATGGGATCCTTTTGGTATTTTTTTTTCTTTTTGGAAAAAAGAGGAGGAAAGGTAAAACATTCTTTAGGCTATTATAATTCATCCTTCTTTATTAACATTTTTGTTATTTTTTACTGAATGTTTAAGCTCTTAGAATGTTTTAATATACATTCATGTAATTCTTTTAGATTGTTTTTCTAATGTTTACAATGTAATAAAAACAGAGCAAGGAATATATATGGAGAATTAAAACAGATTTTTAATCAAAAAGAAGAAAACTTGAACCTATAATTTCTGTTGTATTTTTCACATATATATCAGTGGTGGTAGCAGACAACAAAGTAACATAAAACAGAGCATGCAGAGGTCACAAGTAGAAACTGTCTACAGGAAAAATTCTACTTTTATTAAATTTACTATGAGACTGAGGAAAACGTAAATCTAAATATACTTAAATATTAATTTTTGCTTAAAAAATTCAGTAACTATGATACCATAAAGAACTTATTAATGTTAAAGAAAACACAGGCTCTGTTCCTGCTTTATTGTAGTGATCAATGACCCTTGGAGGGCTGTCAAAAGTGGCTACAAGAAAACAAATTAAGACTTCCCTATTCACATTTTTACTTTTCCAGCTACAAGGAAAAGAAATTTAAATTTTGTGTTTGTGTACATGCTATAGCAGTCACATTACCCTCTCCTATTTAGTATCTGTAATTTAAAAAGACTTAAAAAAATTTACCCAGTATTTATAGGAATATTTACACCAAAAGTTAAGTCTTTTAAATATATATATATATAAAATACTCAATAAGCCAGATTACAGGAATGCTTTATGTATAATTCTTTTTATTTTCATGCAAATTAAAAGCACACTTAATAACACCCTTTCAATTTTGACTTACAGGACTTAAATTCAATCCCTTGTAACAATAACTTAATATCTAACGTTACATTCAGATTCAGAATGCACAAAGTGCAGCGACAGATGCAGCAAACCTCAGAACAAGGTGCTACAGAGCTGCTTCTACAGAAATGACTGACAAGCGTCTGATAGAGTAATTTAATACACTTTTACAGACATACAGCTAACCTAAAGAAAGACAGACAGATTTAGAAAAGCAGCTACATCTGCAGAGGAAGGCAACAGCATGTCTCAGACAAGTCAATTATACATAGAACATTTGACAAACACCACAGAAAACAAAGTTTGGCATCATTTACCAGGGTACAAAACCTTGCACAAATCTTTGGGCAAGTGAAGTGCATAGATTATGTTCTGGGGCTCAAGCAAACTGTTAATTCTAAAATTAAATAGCTGTAAATATAAGCATAGTCTAATACAATGATGTAAATTTAAAAATAAACTTGGAATTACATTTTCATTTTTATAGTATGAATATCTTTGATCCACATTCTAGAGTTGAGGCATTTTTTTAAAAAAGGGAGTGCATGAAACAAATAAATCCTTCTAATACCATGATACGAGTTGTTCCCATATTGCTTTGTGACAAGCTGAGAAACTTATCACTATTTTCAGCTAAGAGGAATACTATTCCATCAACTTTCTGCCCTACTCGTGATTAACCAGATACTACCTATCATATAGTATTCTGCCTGTGTCAGCTGCTGAGACAGGAACTAAAAAGCAGAAGGAAGTCACTGCATGCATTATGTGTATTGTTAGCAAAAGAGGGAGGTGTGCCCCAGTCCACAGGTGGCACAGCAAGTTGCATAACATCATTACCACTTTGCAGCGTCTGCCGTCCTCCAGCCAACACTCCACTAGGCAACATCCCTGTGGGAGTCAGGCCCTTGAGTGTCAGCACACTTTCACTCTCCTCCCTGTAGGAAGAGACAACGAACATCAGAGAATTCCAGGAAGTACTTAAAGAGAGGAGATTAGACCCAGAGGTAGGACATGCATACAACTGGTAGCATTCAATTTTAATAGATATTTTCTTCAATTTCAAAAAAATTATGTATATATTATACTTGAAATGTTTTAGACATAAGAACATGGTTTACAATGGAGGAATATGCTATTTCCCCCAAGTTTCATTTAAAACACGGTAAGATTCATTGTGTCTGGCCAGACACAGTAACAACAAAGTCTCCAATGGAGACGTTACTGGGCCTGCTCGAGCAAATCGATGATCAACGGGAGGGCCTTTACTTTTACCTTTTAAGATTCATTAAGGGTCATCTTTTTTTTTTTTTAGATTTTTTTAAAATTTATTTTTTATTAGTGAAACACCATGAGGTACAGTTGTAGATTTACAAATTTCTGTGCTTGGGTTTCAGTCATACCATGATCAAATACCCATCCCTCCACCAGTGCCCATTTTCCACCACCAGGATAATATCACCCCCCCCCCCCCCCCCCCCCCCGTCACTGTGGCAGGGCATTCCCTTTTGTTCTCTCTCTCCTTTTGGGTGTTGTGGTCAGCAAAAGAGGCATTGAGTGGCAAACATGTTCAGTCCATAGTCTACTTTCAACATGCATCTCCCCTCCTGGGAGGATCCTCCAAACACCCTCCATTTGGTGCTCCATTAAGGGTCATCTTAAAACTGAGAAAATGCTGGTTCATATGCTTAAAAAGCTAAATGGCTGAGATAATCTTTGTTTCTGGATTTTTGGGTCCCACCCAGTGGTGCTCAGGGCTTACTTCTGGCACTATCCTTAAGGATCCCTCCTGGCAGTGTTCAGGGACCATATGTGGTATCAGGAATCAAACCTGGGTTGGCTGCATACAAGGCAAACACCCTGCCCTATCCACCACACTGTTTCTCCAGCCCAGAAATAACCATTTTTATAGATCCATTTGATCTATTTTTAACATACACAATACATCTTTTTATTTGTGATGCCAGGGACAAAAGCAGGTTTCTCACATACAAGGCCACATCTTTGGGCCTTTAATAAACACGTAGATATACAGACAAATTTTAAAGAACATAGCACAGGAAAATAATTTGTGGCTCCAGTAAAAGCCACTTCCTATATGATCGAGCACTTTCATTAGGAATATTCTGAAAAGTACCCCGTCCTTCCTCGATTCTAATTTTCAAGGGATCAAACCCAGTCTATGTGCTCAATCCTTTGAGCTTTCTCTCCTAGTCCCATTATGTAAACTTTAAACAAAAATGGGGTGTTGGCATTAATTTAAAAATGATGTTAATGGGGCCGAAACGATAGTGCAGCAGGTAAGGCGCTTGCCTTGCACGATGCCAACCAGGCTCGATCCCCAGCATCCCATGTGGTTCCCCAGAACACCAGCCAGGAGTAAGCTAAGTGTAGCGCCAGGAGAAACCCAGGAGCACTGCCAGGTGTGCCCTCTCCCCCTCCCCCAAAAAACCCAAAAGACGTTATGAAGAGCTGGTGTGATAGTCCAGTGGGTAGGGTGCTTGCCTTGCATGCAGCTGACCTAGGCTGGAACTCCAGCACCTCTTATGATCCCCTGCCCCCTAAAGAAATGATCCCTGAGCACTGAGCCAGGAGTAACCCCCAAGAACTGCTGTGGTTCCAAAACAAAACAAATTATGTTACAAGTAAGCAGTGAAATAAATGATTATCCATGAAATAAAAGTATAACTTTTTTTACAGGCAAATGCTACTGTTGCTCTTAGATGTCAAGGACACCTCTTGCCAAAAATTACAAGTTAATTTTTGCAAAAAAAACCAGGAAAATAATATAATTACCTGAGAACAGAGAAGACCCTTGCCATCTTGCCAATTGCTCGAATTTTGTTTCTTATGATCTCTTTCCGGGCTGCAGCTGAACCTACTTTCAATGGATTAAATAGAAAAAAAGACTCAAGATTAGGGCATCCACACTGGCATGATTCTTTTAGCCTGTAGCATTCATTCTTATCTGGACCAACATCAAGCCCCTGTTCACAGTTCACAGGGAAGAGCTAAATGAACTCATGCCAAAAAAACTGCTCAGTCCCTCAATGTAAGCTCAGTGCTAAGAATGTGGGGCTGATACAAATGCAAATAAAAAATAATCCACAAACTTTATGACTTTCAAACTATGGGACTAGTCAGTAAAAAAGCAACAACCCTACAGTCTTTCATTGTCATGGCAGTCGATGGCATGCTGTCTCACACACAGGAACTGCTAATAAGCTTGTAGCTCTGTTTACCTACCATAAATGCCTATGAAATGCAAGCCGTAAATATCCCATCACAAAATACAAAATAAGCCTTCTTGCCTTTAAGTTGGTCTAAAAGCAACGACAAGTCTACTGTACAGGTGACCTCACCCTAAGGACCATATCAGCATTTCAACAAGAACGTGATCTCCAACTTCAGAGATTAACCCCCAAAATCATGCAGATATATGCAAACTCTTACATCTCTAAGAAAATGTGGCACAAGGAGAACAAGCAATGAGGAAAGATTCCCTAAGATCATGATTAAATCACTAACAGTTCACCTCTGAAGGGCTAGCTGTGCTGCCTATCATGGTTATAACAAAGAATACAGCAAAATAACTAGAATGTTTAAGTAAAGACTCAAAAATAATCTTTCTTCCAGTGGCCTCCAGGAAAAAAACAACCACCTCAGCCCTGCTATCTCACATACAGCAATTAAAATCACTCTGAACCTAGGAATGAGGTTCTATAGAGGTCTGCTTCAACATGATGAAAACACACATATGGAAGTACAATGTTTAAGAAGGTTAAGGAAAGGCTAAAGATAAAAAAGCAAAAAGGGCATAAGATATACAGAGGTCTACACAACAACAAGTCTCTGGGTCAGAGCACTTCACTTAAAATTCCATCAACCCATTAATACAGATGATTAAAAACTGAGGTAACTGGACCTTATTGCAAAGAAATAGAAAAAGAAACCTAATTTCAAGGATGAAAGCAATACATAATTTATAGATCACAGGCTCTCTGACCGCACTGCTGGTGGGTGACAATGAGCACCAAAGCAACAGCTTTTCTAAGCCCAGGCTTTGGAGGTTCCAATGCACCACACGGGTATTTTCAAGTGACCAAAAGTAAGTCTCTGAATCACAGAATATTAAAGAGACTTGAGGGATACTGCAAAGTTCAATCTCCCCATTTGCTAGTCAAAGAAAAACTAAACTTCCTATATAACTTTGAATTAGTAGATTTTGTTTTAAACAGACAACTTAAAAAAGTAGCTAGACTTAGGGATAGTGCAAGGGGATGGAGGATGAGTATAACAAAGTCCATTCATATTTTCAGCCTTAACTTTTATAACAGTGAAACCATTTGTAAGCTATGCTAATTTCAAATTTTCACTTGAATATATACACACTGTACAAATTGGGACTTTAAATCAGTCTACAAACACATCATGCATAATATTAAAAGTAAAATGTCCACAGTAAAATTACTTTGGGGAATAAGACAGACAATCAAACACCCCTAATCATGCAGGGAAGAGTACAAAACATTACAAATAAGCAAAAGAATGAAATTTTAAAACAAGAGGAATGAAAAAGAGGGAAAAATATTTCCATGCACAGAAAGACAGATATCTTGGAATATGACTTCTAAAAATGCCAAATTCAAAACTCTGCTAGAACTTAGACTAATTTTGCACAAGGCCCAAGAGGACTCTGCATTTCAATAAATAACGCTAACTTACATGGACATGAGGATAACTTATGAAGTCATATTTCAAAACAATGTTACTCTGTCTGGTCTGTACCTTTTTTATTGCCATATATGAGCCGTTCTTCAGATGGAGAGTCCAGAAAAAAGGAAGTGAATGATGGAGAAAAGGTGGTTGAGACAAATAAAAAGATAGAGATTTAACTTGGCAGTGGTCTGACTTAACTGAAGAATGAATGTAGAAAGAAAGGGAGAAAATGAAGGCCTTCATATTTGAAATTTGAAAAATGCAGTACTGTAGATCTAGAGAATGAAAGAGGAATGACACTGGGTAGATCCCTAAAGGAAAGATTTCTTAAAAGATGTGTGTTCAGAAGAAATTATGGATAGAATGACTATAATATCTGATGAAAGTAGACAAATCAGGGACAGAAAAAAACACGTGAAAACACATAAGACTGATAAGACTGTGCTAACAACAATTGCACATTTATATATTGATACCCCTAGAGAAATGTGTCACCCATGAAAATATGTTTAGTGAAAGGTAATGACACAAATGAGATAAAAACTTATGTGGTTCTTCAAGGACACCAACATCTGCAAAATCTGTAGTATATACAGAGAAATGTAGGTAACTTTATCCTCAGTGAAAAACTTGACCCACTCCCCCAAAAGGAAAGGACAAGCTTCCCATAATCCATAAAAATGAGAGCACACAATTTCTTCACTCTTAATTATGCACATACTCAGGAATAACAGTATGTGCTTTTTGTTCTGAACCCAATCTGGAAATCTGAGGGGCATCTTTTTGTAGAAATAGCAACAGATTGTTTCTAAGCAAGTAACAGCTCTAAGAGTAGGCAGCAGAGAAGTTTCGTTTGACTTTCCATATCTCACATTTTAATACTGATTCCATTAGGAAATGCAAAGTTTATACTTAGAACTATGACACACTAGATTATACATTTATCAAACTCAAAACCAAAGATTAACTGAGTTTATATTCTAATTATCAAAGAAATCAAAGTTTAAAACCCTTTATTAAACAATAAACCAAAAGGAATGTCATGTGCATATATACATGAAATATGTTTATGCAAATTTTTGCCTTTAAAATTAATCCTAGGTAAACAGGAGCTCATGACTGTTCATCACAAGATTCTGCCTCATCACTTAAGCTCATGGGGAGGCTGAGAGGGCAGTAAATGGGGCAGGTGGCCAGAAAGACTCAAACCAGCCCGACCACCCTAGAGATTCTCGGTCACACAAGACCCAGTTTTCCTATAGAAATCTCCCAGAAAGAGCCAACTCTTAGTCCCATACTAAGTTCCTCCCTACTTGGGAAGCTCCTTTCTTTCCTCTTTTACTTTCCAAAAATAAATATAACTAATCCCAGGGCCAGAGAGAGGGTACAATGGTTGGACATTTGCCTTGTACACAGTCAACCCGGGTTCGATGCCCGGCATCCAATATAGTGCCCTGAGCACCACCAGGAGTAATTCCTGCAAGTAGCTGCAAGTAGAGCCAGGAGAAACCCCAGAGTACCACTGGGTGTATCAAAAAAAAAAAAAAAAACAACAAAAAACCCGGAAAATAATCCCACACATACACTGAACAACATAATACCAAAACTCATTTAAGAAGAAAACTCATTCCTTTACTCAATCTCAGTCGTGAATATGCAAAAATGACTCTCCTTCCTGCAACTAGAAAATCTCCAACTCTGTTCTTTCCTTTTCTCCACAGGGAAAAAAAACCCTCCACAAAACTCCCCAGCCCATTAAAATGTCTTTCTAAATCAGACTCCTTCCTAGGTCCAATTCACAGGATGGTTCCACTGCTGAGGAGGAACCGGAAAAGGCAGAGGTCAAAGCCTTGCTATCATGGTGAAAGGAAAAGAGAGGTTTAAGGGAAAAAATAGGGAAATATAAGGGAACGAACTTAGTCAAGCTCGAGACACTCTTTTCTTTATTCGTTTCTATTATCTATCCTTTCCCCCTTTATTCTTCCATCTATCTTCATTCCTGCAACTAAACTCACAGATTCAGCCTCAAAATTTTTTGGGAATTCCTGATTATCATATTTGGCAGTGGAAGAGTGGATGAAACGAAGAGTAACTGCATCTGCCATTTTGGCAGTCAAGGGAGATCTATTTCTAGTATTCGGTGCTGGAACTCAATGTGTTTTCCCATAGAAACATTGTCATAAATGGTGCTTACCAATTTTTAGAGAAAGAATTTCCATCCTTTCTACTCCCTCAGTTTATGCAGAAGAACCTGAGAAGTTAGTTGACTTTTCTACAAGTATACACCTGCTATAACACAGTCACCAACACAACTGATTCTTCTCACTAAATCCCTCTTGAATGACATTCAAGAATGATATAACAACTGAAGAGATAGCTCAAAGGGCTGGAACGCATGCTTTGCATGCCAGAGGCCCAGGTTTGATTCCTGGTTCTGCCTGATCTCCTGAGCACCCGGCAAGAGTAAATCCTGACTTACAGCCAGGAGCAGCCCCAAACCAAAAGTTAAAAAAAAAAATGATATAACAAGTATATCAGTTAGTGTAACTTATCAACAACAGGAAAAAGGTAGATAAGAACATAAAATCTCATTAGAAGGATCATAACATTTCATGTTTAATACCGGCAAAACAACATTCAGTGTTATTTTTTTAACATAAAAAACTGCTATATTAGACTTACAGAAACTTTTCCCTTTTCAGTATAGGAAGAAGGCTAAGCATTACCTCTATCACAATTCCAATTTAGCAAAGCATTAACAAAACTGTTTCTTTTTTTTTTTCATGTTGCTGGGATTGAACCCAGGGCCTAATATATACATGCAAAGCATGAGCACTACCACTGAGCTACCTCCATAAACACTGATAAAATTTTAAAGTAACAAAGGTAAAAATGTAGAAAATTTAAAAGATTAGCTTTATGCAAATGATATTTTAAAAGAAGAAACAAAATTAAAATTTCAACTGGAAATATAATTCTGCTGATCCAAGTTGAACAAAAGATAAATCCACAAATATGTATTATTCCTTTCTGCACAAAAAATACATAAAAGTATCAATTGTAATATGAGTATAAAAACTTAAGTGTTAGGA